TATATATATATATTGTGTATACAATGACTTACAGAATCACTTATTATGATTCAATATCTGAATTTTAAAATCGTCAGTATTCTTTTGTCCTTAAGTTAAAGAAGAATGCTCAATAAAAAACTTTTTTTTATTAAAAATGTAGCTGTAGAGCTGTTTTGAATAATTAACATTAGTCGTCAGGTCAGTGTTGTTTAAGCAACATATAGGAAGCAATTAAACATTTGTGCACCTGCCTTAATCCAAAGGAACATTTAATTCATGGTTCATTCATTTCTTGTAAATCAAACCAATGACCTTTTGTTATTATTTGCTTTCATTCTCTTAACCTCTTCTTCTTCTTCTTGATTGATTTCTACAGAACTGAGCCTATGGGTGAACACTTGATCAAAGCAGGGATAAGGAAGTGTAAGTTTCTCACTCTCCATGTCTATATGTCTCTCTCTGAGGCACTAACGGATGTGTTTTCTGTCTCGCAGATGCTTGCGATCTCACGCTGGATCCGAACACAGCTCATGTTCTACTGTGTCTCTCCAACGGAGACAGAACGGCGACATGTGCAATGCAGAAGCAGCCGTATCCAGATCATCCAGAGAGATTTGAATCAGTCCAACAAGTGCTGTCTAGAGAGAGCCTGTCTGGCCGCTGTTACTGGGAGGCCGAATGGACTGGTCCGGAGGGGACGGTCGGGGTGACGTACAAAACCATCCTGAGGAAAAGTGATGATCTTTGTATAGTAGAGGCCACCGGGCAGCTTGGAAACAATAGTGTGTCATGGAAAATTACCTGTGCATCTTTCCCATATGTTTCTCACGCTGAAGACGACATTAATATAAAGGCTTCATCCTCTTGTTCATCTAAAAGAGTGGGTGTGTATGTGGACACGACGGCTGGCGTTTTGTCCTTCTACAGCGTCTCTGACACACTCACACACTTGTACACCTTCCTCGCGGCTTTTAAAGATCCTCTCTATGCGGCCTTCAAGGTGGACAGGGACTCTGTGTCCTTTTGTCAGATTTAACCTGAAAGCCTCTTTATCTTACATGTATGTGCACATTTATTGCCATCTTGTTTTACTCTGTGTGACTGAGTACAACTTCAAATCAAATTTTTTTTTGTTATGCTTAAAGTCTCATTTAAGTCTTATTTGTTCACTTTGTTAACCTAGATGATGCCCATACTTTGGTATATATAATATAATTATGTAAACATTGTGAAATTAATTGCATTAACATGGGAAAAAGCTTATTTTCTGCATTTACTGGTTTGTTTATTTATTGAGATCTGAAAATCAATAACTAAACCAACTGATAATTTGCTGAACAAGACATCTGCAGCTTACCTGCTGGACAAATTAAAATAGTTTAATTTGTGTTTGAGGACATTTACACAACATTTATTATTGAGAACCCTTACGAAAATTAACCGCGGTTTTACTACATATAAAACCAAAAAAACATGGTTATTGTAGTTAAACCATGGTAACCACAAATTAACCATGGATTTGCTACACTAACCATAGTTTAACCATGGCATTTGTAGTAAAACGGTGGTTTATGCAACCGATTTATGAAATCATATATGATTTATAAATATTAGTTTAGACTTTATGCATTTGTTTTATAGACAGTCATTATTTCATTGCATTGAATACACAGTTTAATGAGGTGCATTATTTTGCTCAAGTGGCCTCAGGAGACAGGTGTTTCCTTAACACTTATTTAATCTGCATATAAAATATAAGAAAGGAGATATTCGTTTCAATTTTATTTTGTGTTTGTTAAAACAAAAATTAGTTGTTGTTCGACTCAATAAATTGGGTAATTTAAAAATACAGTGGTTGAATTTATTTATTTTTTCTACTGCTCTGTTTAAAAAAGGTTAGAAAAAAATCCAATAATTATCGATATGAAACATTATATTGTGATACATATTGTAGCTATATCGCCAAGCCCTATTTCCAAGTATCTTAAGAATGGAGAAATCAATCTCAAAATCTGCTTGCCACAGTCACAATTAAGATGTTTCAAACCAACAACAAAATCTTACATGAACTGTCCCATAAATGGTTCTCATGCTCAAATAGCGTTAAAAAAGCGTATTTTTCAGGCTAGACCAGTCAATGCGCATGTGCAGACATTGGCGCCAGTCACTGACTGTTTCTGTGGCAACCAGATCCGCTAACGGCTGCTGCAGTGACGCGATGATTTTACCAATTGGCGATTGGCTCTTTTATTCAGAAGGCGGGGCTTATTCGGACATATTTCGCGTTGCACTTTTTGTCCTTCATAGAAATATGATTGAACGTCTTCGGCTCTGCTCTGTTTTCATGTGGTATTTGTGTCTGTTTCTGATGTCAACTGTTTTGAAGCTCAGTGGGAAAGACATGAGCGGGAATGTGTTTATCTCCACAACAGACATAGAAACAATACATGAGGAACTACTGCAAACTGAGGTAAATGTCCAGCACAGCACTGACTAAACCTCTAGAAACAGTTTAAGTAATTGGAGTAAACAAACATCAAGTGAATCGGGAATAAACTCTCTTGTAAAATGAACAGACTCTTCAGAGTCTGACCCTGATAATTAACCACGGGCTTCTGGGGCCTCAGAGTCGCCTGCTGTAGGATTCAGTTTGTAATTTGTTAGATGTTGTAATGCTTGGATAAAACATCCATCTAAATTTACCTTGAATGCAGGAGAAATATGATATGATATATTCAGCTGTGATCTAGTTGCAATGAGTTTTGTTGTCGAATCAAGGCTGAACCCATATTCTGTGTCCTGAGGAAAATTAGATTGGAACGTGATCTCGCTTCGTTTTGTGTAATTGTCATTAGCTATTGGTGTTCTTTTGCAAGTTTGGCTCTTAAATTACAGGACACACGACTTCCAGCTTTATGTGTGAAAATGTAGATTTACATCCTTTACACTTCCCTGTTGTCTGCTCTGATAAATCAGTTCTTTTCATCTGCTTTTTTTTTTTTAAATGGATAAAGTGTAGGGTCATTAGCATAATTTGGCAGCAACCTGATCATTGACTCTTCAGGCAGTAAAATGTTAGGAGAATTTTAGGAGCACCTTCTAATCAGTAATCAAAAATTCTGATAAAAAAAAATTAACCTTCCGATTACAAGGTGATATTTGACTCCTTAAAGTGATTTACAGGGAATTTTGTTTTTACCTTTTGTAATGCCATTTTTCTAACTTTATTAAAAGTATGTCATCTTTTATGTCAAATTCAAAAAATATATATTTATAAGCTTTTTAACATTTCTAATTAAAACAACAGAATAAAAACAAGTAGAATAAGAATAAGTTACCAATCAAATGAAATCAGTATTTAAGAAATACATTTGTACAGAGGTGGCACAGAAGAACACGCAAGTGTCTTGTAGGTGTATTTTCAGACGTTTAATGAGGCTCAGAGGTCGCATGAGTGCAATTAAATTCATAAATTCATGTTGAGGTTAATGTTTTAAATAAAATTTTGAATATAGAAATATTAAATGATTTAAATAACAGAAAAGATACTTTAAAAATTAAACTAAAACTGCCAGCAGGTGGCGACAAGTCACTGATTTTATCACTGAATCATTCATTCAATTGATTCGTCCGAACGGCTGATTCATTCAGGAACGAAGTACGTGACTGTCTTTATGAATGGGTAATTGAATCATTGACTCACTCGATTCGTTTAAAAACGCAGTTCATTCATAAACGAAACACCGCTGTGTTTGAATGGAGATGCGCAGCGGCTCAGCTGTTACTTTGTTTGAAACTATTTTAGTTGAGGAAATAGAGCCAAATAAGGCAATTGTGTTGTTGTCAGATAATATAAGTGACTTAATATTAACTTCTTGTTTAATTAACTGTTGTATCGCGATCTCACAAAACTCCATTATAAGCGACGAAGCTCCCCCCTACACTGCACAATGAATCTCTTATTTACACTCTGTCAACACTTTGTTTGTTATAATGAGAGGATACGTCGGTGATGCATTACTCAATGCTGCTGAAACACGTAAGTATGTTAGAACCTTTGAAGCTCCCTCAGCGCAAACATAAATGCTGATCGGGTCAGTCGCACAGGTGCTCCTAAATATTATTTCATAGTCGCACGCAGTAGTGTACACACTGTAGTTGTCTGATCTTGTCAGTGTTTCCACAAAAGATTGTTAACTCATTCTCAGCTGGATCATGTGCTTGTTTATGTTCCTGTTGTTGACCTCCTCATGTTTCTCCTTCGTTGTCTGCTGATCAGCCATTGTTATGTTTTATTTTATCTCATTCAACAGTGTTTGCCATCTGCAATACAATCCCAAGTTAAGTTACTTGGTTTCATTAATCTGTTTGCATCTGATACTCACCTGTTGTTGTCTGTTTTCCTATCATCAGTAAATCCTGAGATTGAATTCATTGTACACCCTTGCTTGTGTTGTTCTGTTACATCATATGGTATAAATATGAAAACAAGAACTATACAATGGCATTTTTCATCTCAGAATTAGAACACAAATTCACATTCATCTGTTTTTTGTTGCTGCTCTACATTTACATTTAGTCATTTTGCAGACGCTTTTATCCAAAGCGACTTACAATTGGGGAATACATAAAGCGTTTAAGTGCTCGCAATACCAAGTTTCAGGCATTGTTTAAATCAGTACAAGCTAGAAAGGGAAGGAATAAATAAAGAGAGAGACAATTTTTTTTTTTTTTATTTAGGATGAAGTCAAGCAGCGTTGAAAGAGATGAGTTTTCAGCTGTCGCTTGAAAATTGTCAGGGATTCAGCATTCTGGATAGGGGTGGGAAGATCGTTCCACTAGCCAGGAACGGTGAACGAGAATGTTCTGGAAAGTGATTTTGAGCCTCTCTGTGATGGTACCACGAGGCGTCGCTCACTAGTGGATCTCAGACTTCTGGAGGGGATGTAGATTCG